GTTTGTATAAATTATTTTTTGTCTATATCAAATAATCTTCAAAATAATTATGTTATGGTACTTATTTTTATTAAGTTGTAGTCAAAGGATGGAAACTATTTAAAGGCACTTGATGTTCAAAGATTTTTTTTTATTAAAAAAGCATACTTAACACGTTCACACTGCGTTATCGGGTCGAATTGACCTTAGGTGCTGGATGCGTTGGTGCGGGATGGATATATTCGGTCTTTTTAATAGTACGAAAGATTATTGTTTTGCAATTGTTTCGTCAAACACAGTCAATATTTGGAAAAAAAAACTTATCAGGTCCTTACGACCCGATGTCGCACTAAAAGTAAACAAATATAGTTTAGTGCTTTTATCGTGTCTAATCGACCCGTTAACAGATGACTTTATGGTCACTGATCACGGTCGAGATCGGTATACTAAGAGAAAATCAACCTAGCGATTTGAAAAAAATAAATAGGTAAAAATTATGATGTCGGGTTCAGGGATGTCAGAAGTAAGAAATTATTTTACATAGCGCCTCTAGTCCCAAACTAAGCAAAGCTTGTAATTTAAACAAACATGGCAATGTATCATTCTGCTTGCTTATTGGCCGCTAAGCCCTTGGCCAACTCAGTAACCAATGACGGACGATTGTCACTCAACCACAAAGTACCGCGTAAATTAAAAGAAATTTTTTAATTAAAAATATTAACCAATAATATTTTTTGTTAGATCAAATATATTTTAAAGTTAAGTTATACATAGATCGAAATGTATTTATTAGGTGATCAATATTAAAAGGCAAACTTGATATAAAAATCATCAAATTAACAAAATTAAAGATCAATAACTAAAAAAGAGGATCAAATATTATTTTTGTATACCAAATATTAAAAGAGTATGTTAAACATAAATATTATGTTACCTTTAATGAAGATCATTCATAATTTATCCGTAGATCAACTAATATAGACCCAATAATTAATATAAGGACAAAATATAATAAAAAACATCATTTATTTTTAAAAGTGCACATACAAAAAAGATCAATTAGTTTTTAGAGGATCAAATAATATTGTCCCATTTTAAAGTTAAGTTATACATAGATCGAAATGTATTTATTAGGTGATCAATATTAAAAGGCAAACTTGATATAAAAATCATCAAATTAACTAAATTAAAGATCAATAACTAAAAAAGAGGATCAAATATTATTTTTGTTTACCAAATATTAAAAGAGTATATTAAACATGAATATTATGTTACCTTAAATGAAGATCATTCATAATTTATCCGTAGATCAACTAATATAGACCCAATAATTAATATAAAGATAAAATATAATAAAAAACATCATTTATTTTTAAAAGTGCACATACAAAAAATATCAATTAGTTTTTAGAGGATCAAATAATATTGTCCCTTTTATTTTTAGTATTTGTTGTTAAAGCGGATATAAATTATCTGTGAAAATTTCAACTGTCTAGCTTAGCTATCACTGAGACACGAACTAGAACTGTAAGCACGGAACTTGTGCCAGTCCTGGCTGGTGTACTGCCGGTCGATTTAGAGGTACAAAAGCGTGCGGCTATGTACTTCGCATCAAGGGAAAATTTAACTTCCAATTTCTTAATTAGCCGCGATCGTTCTAAAATAAGCCGATTATTTGATTCCCGACAAGTCGTTGAAGAAGATTTAATCACTGAATGGCAAAAAAGATGGGATTCGTCAATAAGTCTTCACTTATATTAATTCTTTCCGAATGTACGCGAACGTCTATCTAAGCGGTGGTTGAAAATTGACCATTGCTCGTCGCAGTTCCTACCTAACAGGGCAGCGTCTTTCCGTTCTATACATGGCCAGAACGCACCCATAGGAAACTGCTCGTGTAATATTTTGGAGTGTCTCTTTGTAAATCGGTCATTACAAACTATACACGAATTTTGCGTACTGATCGTGTATAGTTTGTATCGTGGATGGATTCCGTCTTCGCTCCAAACTATACTACACCACTTACAGTTGACTAGAGTGTGTTTAGTTGATTTGATTTAATAAAATATGGAATTATATTTAAAATTATTACATTTATTAGATATTATGCTCGTGCTTTGTCCTCGAGATTAGAAATAAGAACTACCTATGTAGATCACGTACGGTGATGCCATTTTTAAATTCATTAATTATTACATAAAATATTATTATTTTACTGAATCTACATAGTTATTATCTCAAGAACAAAAATCATTTTGACATACATAATTCTTAATTTAAGAGTTATTCAGCCCCGAAACAAATATCTTTTCTATGGCAGAATATGAAACACCAAAAAACTCTTTATCAAAACAATGGCACGTGTCGAAATTGATTCAATGTTTAAAGTTAGTGTCCGACCGAATATGGATTTTCAGCCGAAAACGGAAACGAAAACGAAGCTTCGGCTGCTGTCTCATTTTCGGCCGAAAACGAAAACGAAAACGAAAATGACCTTCAACTCTCAAATTTCAATCTGAAATTATGTAAAAACCTTGAAAACCGTTAATGTTTTGACCAAAAATAAGATGACGTTTGACAGTTGATATTGATAAGGATTGAGTAAAGAAAACCGGCATTAAAACACAAAAAAAATATGAATTCTTAGTAGAATATCATTTTCGGTGTATAATGAAATATTGGGAAGTGAAGAAGAAATACAGGATGTCCAGTGGGAATTTTTCAACTTCAAAAATAAATACAAATAAATTAATGTTTTTTTATTATTTATTACTAATGCAAACTGGAGTTTAACAATGCGGATTTAATATAGGCACTCTCACAGCTGGACCCTTACATTCGCAACTATGCGAGAGCAAATCGCGCTAATAATTTCCCTGCAACTTCACGGCGGATATTTTCTTACAGAACCTGAATTATTTAAGGATTGTTTGCTGTAAACTTTTGACTTGAGATATCCCCACAAGAAAAAGTCGCATGGTGTGAGATCTGGTGACCGAGGCGGCTAGGGTATGTCTCTGTACTTGCTAATCACTTATTTGAAAAAAAAAAAGAAAAAATAGTCCTCAGTGTCTCCATCGAGGTGCTCTCCATGTGTGGGGAGACACCTTGCTGAAATAGAGTTACGTAGTTGACCGGGATGCAGTTGCAGTTGTGGTATCAGACATTCATCGATCATTCGACAATACTTTTCAAATTCTTATTGCTCAACTGCGAACGCTCTGTAGGCTCCCAAGTATCAATCATGGTATACCTACATATAAATATTAATAATTCGTCCTGATAAATAAGTAGGTAATTAGTAATTATTTTTCTACGTTTTAGTGTAGGTTTTTTGGAGTCGGTTTTTTTAAAGGATACTTATAGGTTTTGTCTGTCATCCGCTTTGTACTGGAGCGAAGTCGATCCATAACTACGAACTCTTCCTTTGTTTTGATTAATTTCGTTGCGAATCCAATGACAGTTTTTCCCCCGGGGCAAACTTGACCTTCACTGGTTTGTTTTTTATTGGCGGTCATGCTGTAGGTCCTGGCTACACAGAAGTAGCACAGTTGAGAACGACAGGTGGGAATAGTCCCGTGTCTAGTTATCATGGTTCATGAGATACAGCCTGGTGAGTAGTCAGGACTGTTAGTAATATGTTATTGGTGACAGTTTACGTTGCGCAGTATAGGCACAGTTTAAGCTACCATTTCCCTCGACGCGCAGACGTTCGGCGTGCGGCATGCTCGCGCGCGCGTGGTGGGCGGCGCTGGCGGCGCTGGCGGCGCTGGTGCNAAGACGCAACAGGGCATAATAATTCAAACTAGTTCCGTCTCCTTTTTGTGACTGTTCCACTGTTGAAGTCAGTCATGAACAGTCTGTCCATCATATCTTATTGGAGTGTGATCTTTGGAAGCATGACGCCCATGACATAGGTAATGCTTGATTCAATACAACACACATCTGTTTCTGAAATTTATTGTTGCCGCGACAAGGAAAAAATTCTGTGATTTTAAGCGATTTTGTGAAATGTATTATTGGCAGGTAGCTTAATAGCTCATGAAACAGGTCCCCATAATTGATACTTACTGTCCATGGTGCATACAGGGTCGAACTTTGTAATGCCACCTGGAGGGAAAGTAAAAAAAAAAGAAAGAAACTACTCTTAATACTGCAGATACAAAATTGGGGTCAAAGTAAAGATTTATTTATTTTTCAAAGATTTCCATAAATTTGCATGTCACACCCGGGATTCGAATCAACTAAAATCTCTTAAAAATATTTTATTGCATCGATCGTTAGGGTTAAGTATAAGGATGAAATCTCTCTAACAAACTTGATAAATCAAATGAAAGGAAAGCCATGAAATCTTAATTTATTGTAATTATTTACGGAAAATTGTGTGGTGTGGTGGTGAATTTTAGAAAATTTTTTGGAAATATTTGAATGTAATTCACTTTCTTTACAAAAATTCCTTTGAGTAAAATTTTCTATCTACAGTATTAAGATAAAAAAAAAACTCATAAAACTCATTTATTTCTGTAAGTAGGCTTTAAAAAAGCACTTTTACATGTCCCAGTATTAACCCTACTAGAGTACTTTCTCTCCAGGTGGCAATACAAAATTCCACCCTGTATATCGTTTTTTTAAAGGATACACGGTCTGTAGGTTTTGTTTCATGTCATCCGCTTTGTACTGGAACGAAGTCGAACCTTAACTTCGAACTTCTCCTATGTTCTGATTAATTTCGTTGCGAATCCAATGACAGTTTAACTTTCCCACGGGGCAAACTTGACCTTCACTGGTTTGGTTTTTATTGGCGGTCAAGCTCTAGATCCTGGCTACACAGAATGGGAACGAGAGGTGGGAATAGTCCCGTGTCTAGCTATCACAGTTCATGAGATACAGCCTGGTGAGTAGTCAGGACTGTTAGTAATATGTTGGTGACAGTTTACGTTGCACAGTATAGACACAGTTTGTAGCTACCATTTCCATCGACGCGCAGACGCTCGGCGTGCGGCATGCTCGCGCGCGCGTGGTGGGCGGCGCTGGCGGCGCTGGTGCTGGCGCGGCCGGCGGCGGGCGGCTGCGGCGTGGCGGAGCTGGCGTGCCGCAGCGGCGCGTGCGTGCGCCTGGACGCGTACTGCGACGGCGAGGCGCAGTGCGCCGACGGCAGCGACGAGCCGCCGCACTGCTCCGTGTGCAACCGCACGTACTACGGGCGCGCCGGCGTGGCGTACGCGGTGGCCGTGCCGCCCACGCCGCGCGCGCCCTTCCTGTGCCACCTGACGTTCACGGCGGGCGGCGGCGCGCACGGCGACCTGGTGCAGCTGGCCTTCGACGAGTTCCGCGTGGGCCGCTACGAGCCGGGCGCGCTGGACGGCTGCCCCGACGGCTACATGCAGCTGTCGGAGCTGGGCCGGCCCTTCACGGGCGGCTCGTGGTGCGGCGAGTCCGACGGCACCGCGCTCTACTACAGCGAGACGGCGACGGTGACCGTTTCTGTGAAGCTGTTCCGCATGCGGCTCGGTGAGCCGTTCGGCTTTCGCCTGCGATACAAATTTATTTCGCAATTGGACGCGGTGGTTAGGTGCGTAAAATCAACTCTTATTTACTTTTACTTATCCGTTGATCAGTTTTTTCTACATAATTTGTAGGTGGTAACCGCTTGACAATTATCTAGGTTTGGGGCAATGGAGGCGCCGTTGGAGCGCGGCGCAGTGTCGCCGGGCACGTACTGCACTCGGACTTACGAGGAGTGCCATCGGAAATCCTGCCGACTGCAGAGTCCGAACTATCCTGGCATGTATCCAAGGTACGATATTTGCGTTTCTTGTTTAGCGAAAATACAAAGGAATTATATGATACGAAATCAGAGTTTGTTTTTGTGCAGAAATGTGACGTGTTACTGGAGTCTGCGACAGAAAGATATTCCAACGTGTAAGCATGCAATGATATCCGTGAAGCAAGAGTATTCGCATAAAATGCAAATAAAACGGTCCATATCGATGGCAAGGTGAGTTATTTCACAACTTTACCAATATTACATTTGAGAAAATAACAAAACTAAAAGGAAATTTTCCACAGTCTAAACAAGACTGGGCGCGCAGTGCGCGCGTGGCGCGAGTGCACGGGCGAGCGCGACCGGCTGATCTTCTACGACGGCGCGTCCACGGACGACCCGGTGCTGGTGGAGTACTGCGGCGGCGACTGGCTGCCGCGCGTGACGTCACGCGGGCCCGAGATGCTGGTGGCCTTCCATTCGTCGNACTCGTCCCCCTTCAGCGCGCCGCTGCGGCCCGCGGCGCCGGCCGCCCCGCTCAGGGGCTTTGAGCTGGACGTGGACGTCGTTTTCGCTGATTCCGACTCCCTTGATTATGCCAGGTTGATTACTATGAATCTTATAATGTTTTACTACAACATAGCGATGAACAATACATTTTATAAGAATATGTTACAAGAATTTATCTTGTTTTTAGAGAGGCGCGCAGATGTGAATTTCATGTGAAGGCGTCTTCCTCCGAGGAAGAATCTAACGTCACGGCTCCGACTGGGGGGCGAGGGAGGCGCGGGCGACTTCGAGCTCCATCTCACACGCTACCGCCGAATACCACCTGCACGTGGACGTTCCATGGTAGACCGGGTGAGTTGAGTTACATCGACGTTGACATATTGGCATTTATCGGATTCTTTAAAGTTATTTTTGTCCGCAGGTGATTTGGTGTGGATATATTTCTCAAGTTTTACGCAATACTCATTAGTAGAGCCTCGGCGTATAGAGAGCAGCGAGAGAGATGAGGAGGGTACCGTGCCGGTGACTCCTCGAGCCCCGCCACCCACAGAAGGACGCGAGGGTGGCGTGTGTGCAGTGGAGTTGCGTATTTGGGACGGCGGGGGGGCGGGCGAGGCGGGCGCGAGGCTGCTCGGCCAGTATTGCGACTCGGCGCCGGCCCTGTGCGCGCGAGCCGCCCTCGCGAACGCGACTCGGTCGCCGCGCCCGTGCTCACCTCCAGACGGCTACGTCTCGGCAGCAGCGCTGCTCTCGCTAGCGGCGACTTCACTTCACGGAACTGCAACGCATCCGCTTGCGTTTTCGTTACACTATGAGTTTGTTGACGCTCGTCTCGAAGGCATCCCGTCTCCCGACGACGGACGACGGGCGCGACCGTGGCCGCCGGAGTGCGGCAGGACGCTAACTACTCCGGGCGCGTTCTCGTCTCCGCGGAACGCTTTGTGGTTTGGTCGTGGTGGTGCGCGAAGGTTACGTTGTGTGTACAGGTTACAAGTGAATGATGGACGAGTTATTCTCGATCTCAGTGCGGCCGCGTTCGGGCGCGAGCCCGCGTGCTCGACGCGACCGGACCCGGTGACCGGGCGGCCGTCGTGTGTGCCGGACCCGGTGGAGCCGCGGCCGGAGGACCCGGAGGCTGGCGACGATGTGCCGGTAGATTTTGACGGTGACGACGATATGCCGTTACGAGTGCCACATTTACGAATATACGAGTCCCCTTGGCCGGGATACAGGGTAAGTGTTTATTGTAACAAAATTTTAGGTCCGGTTTCTGAATTGAGATTTCTACTTTGAGCGCGTGCTCATCTTTTTATTATAATCATCATCATTTCAGCCATACGACGTCCACTGCTGAACATAGAACAGTCCCTGATGATTTCCATATTGAGTGGTTTGTAGCGGCGTGCGTCCAGCGTCTTCCTGCTACCTTTTTGATGTAGTCGGTTCACCTTGTGGGTGGAAGTCCCACGCTGCGTTTTCCGGTACGCGGCCTCCACTCCAGAACCTGCCTGCTCGATCGGCCATCAGTTCTGCGTACTATGTACTCTGCACATTGCCACTTTAGCTTGCTAATCCATCATCTTCTACTCAAGGATGAATTGAATATAACTGATATAACTGAAAGGGATCATTGTAAGCAATTTCATTTCACAAATAATTTACTTAATATAATCACTATGGCCCCTCCCTTCAGGCGCTGTGAAACGCCTTTGTGGAACATAAGTGATGTGCGGCAGGTGCCGGTGGCGTGCATCTGCGACAACAGCAGCGCGCCGCTGCGGCTGGAGTCGGGCGGGCCGGCGCTGGAGCTGGAGCTGGTGGCGCGGCGGCTGGCGCCGGCCGAGGACCAGCGCCACGTGCACTTCCGCGGCGCCTGGACGCGCGCGCCCGCGCCCGCGCCGCCCTGCGCGCAGCGCCGCCGCCTGCCGCCGCCCGGACAGCGCGTGCACCTCGTCTACCCTTATGAGTGAGCAAATCTATGTAAACCTGGACATGATATAATTTTATGGTCATTATGTTTATTTTTATTTTTTATTTATTTAATAGGACAACCAACAAGACATACACTGGAAGACAATCAATATTTACAACGTATTTAACTTAATCTAAGTGCTGCCTTAATTATAGATTGCCACGGCATGCAATGTTGTAAAAGCTTAAAAGAATATGACTTATCGCTTATGTGGTCTACTAGTGGTAAGACCACCCGCTTCAGACGCAGAGGTCCCGGGTTCGATTCCCAGTGGGGGCAGATTTTTCTGTTCGGTTTGGTTGGTGGTAGGGCTTGTCCTAAGTCCGCATGGCTAGCTACCATCATCTTACCTAAGTCCGTCGCCATAACAACAATGTTAACAGCATTGTTGTGTTTCGGCAGTTAGAGGTAAGATAGCCAGTTCCTCTGTGGTTGAGGATTCCGGGTGAAGCTCGCTTCCACCTTCGGCCTGATCATCACTTACCATCAGGTGAGATACAAGCCAAGAGCTGTATAAAAAAAAGACTATGTTTATTATGTATCTTTTCGCACAGCCATGACCGGACCTCAGAATGTGGCGAGAGTCCGTTCCTGCTCGCAGCGCGGGGCAACCGGTCGGTGTTCCTGCGCGTGTGGGGCGAGGAGCTGGCGCCCGCCGGCGCCGGCGCCGACCCGCCGCCCTGCCACACCACCAACAGGATCCTCGTCTACGAGGCACACTCCACCAAGTGAGACCAAGATCCATTCTGAAATTATTATAGATTTACATTAATATTTTTCATAGAAGTGCTAACGGTACCGTAAGCATCTACATATATTAAGGCCCAGTACAGACGGTGAAACGCAACTGCAAGTTACTTTGACCACTGACTACCAGAACTGGTCGCGTCATGTGTGGTCTCTCAACGGACGCTATGGCAGAAACTTACATGCAACTCAAAAGTAACTAGCAGTTGCAGTTTCGTTTCACCGTCTTTTCTGGGCCTAAGTGTTAAGTTGGTTATCACTTTTTTATTTCATAAGAACGTTGAAGTCAGGTTTCTGAAAACCAGCGTCGTGGCTTCCCTCACCGGGGGCCACGGCATATGCTGAGTGGGGTCCCATTGCGATGGGCATCGCTGTGCGACAGGGTGGCACTGCTTAGTTTACTTGCTCATTCATTATATGTTTTTTATGTCACCTCTGTCTTATTTGCTTTTTTTTATTTTACCTCTTTTGTCTTTTGTGATGTCCATGGCAATAAATGTTTCTTTCTTTCTTTCAATATAAAGTGTCACTTAGCCATCTTGAAATTGGATGGGTCGCGGTTCCAATCCTTGTTGTGCGCAGGTTGGTGCGCGCGGTGTGCCCGGGCGGCGCGCGCGCCGTGCAGCTGTTCAGCGGCGAGTGGTGGGGGCGCGGCGCGCGGCCCGGCGCCGGCGCGCTGCTGCTCGTGTGGGCCGCGCGCGAGCCCGGCACCGCGCAGTTCTCGTGGATGGAGGTGAGCGAAACAATTAGATATATCTACACCAACGCCAAGCTCGCTACAAATAAACGAACTTATTGAACTTCTTCGGTGTATGTAAAGGGTGACTAAGGCTGGGTTGCACCATCTAACTTAAACTATAGTCTGGTCCGTGAGCACGTAGAATTTTGTCCAATGACCCCAAGCTACTCATCCTTATCGCTCGCGCGTAATTATGTTGCTATCGCGCTCGCACACTCACTGCGGATGCCAGTCGCACAGTCGCGACAGCAATATAATTACGCGCGAGCGATAAGGATGAGTAGCTAGGGATCATTGGACAAAATTCAACGTGCTCACGGACCGGGCTGTATAACAAACGTCAAAATATATCTGTCAAAGTCCATACAAAAAGCACCGGTTATCGTTATTGTAACGGCTAAAATTAGGTGGTGAAACTCAGCCTAAGTTAATTTCTTTATTCATTTTCATCATTTCATTTTCATTTTAAAAACAAAGTGCGCTGGTGGTAGGTGTGGCGGGCCGGGCCGACGGTGCTGCAGCGGCTGGCGGCGGGCGACGCGTGGCCCAACGCGTCGGCGTCGTGCGCGCACGCGTGCGCCGCGCTGGGCGCGTGCATGGCGGGCGCGCTGTGGTGCGACGGCGAGCCCGACTGCCCGGGCGGCGGCGACGAGGCGCGCGGCTGCGGCGCCGGCGCCCGCCTGCTGGCCGCGCTGGCGGCGCCGGCTGCGGCGGGAGCGGCGGCGGCGGCTGCAGGTGACTCTCTCGTTTCCCACGACATGAAGGCTGCCACCGGCGACAGCGGCAGTACTAACGTGTGGTCTGCGCAGGCGGCGCGGCGCTGCTGGCGCTGGTGTGCGCGGCGGCGCTGCGGCGGCGGCGGGCGCGGCGCGCGGACAAGCAGCTGCTGGGCGCGCTGGCGGCGGGCCGGCGCCTGACGGAGGAGCTGCTGTACGACGCGTCGCGCGCCTCCTCCGCGGCCTCCTCCTGACGGCGCGAGCGCTCCGTCGAGTACATCCACGTGGACCGCGAGACCACGGTGTGACGGAGCGCGCCGCCCTGTACATAGTGACGTGACGTTTGTCTCGTTCTCGTTTCGGTTGTCGCGCTCGCGCCGCGGGCTCTGCGAGTCGGCGGCGCGTGCGCATCGCACAATTGTATTACTGATTCTGTTGGGCTCTGATGTGATTCTATTTCGTTAGATATTTTGTGACGGGTCGGGCGAGCGTTCGGTGCGGCCGATTAAGTCCGACGTGGTCGGGATATGAGTAGTGTAATTAATTAATTTAAGTGCCGGCCGGGCCAACGCGACGCGTCGACTTCGGCTCGTGGACTATTGTTTTATATGTTATTGTTGATGAACTGTCCCGTCCCTCGTTTCCACTTGAGTTATGGAACGCTAATATAAATATAAATTAAATTACGAAATCGAATCGGTGTTTCATTTAATTTGAACGTTAACCCTATATGATTCCGCTTGATCCATAAAGGAACTGAACACTGTCACGCATCACGTTATTTATAAATAAAGATTCTATTTACCCTCAATGTTCCACACCTGTACCCGAAAATATTTTTAATACATATTAAATGCCGTCGTGTAAAAGTGCTCAGGTAAGGATATGCCACCCTTCCTCGGAGGCGAGTGTTTTTTGAATGAAATCGAGCATAATGAAGGCATTACGATTTCACGCGTAAACCGAAAGGAACGAATCGCGCCTGCATAATTTACTTGGTTGCCGCAAGCGAGAGTGGGCCCTGTGTCTGGGGTCCACAATTGAGGTTGGCGTGAGTCGCAGCAGAGCGTTACAGTTGCTGTGCGAGCCAATAAAAGTCAGCGGCGAATACATTTGCCCGCCGCCTCGCGAATAAAGTGCCCAGGTACAAAGGACATTAAAAGTAAGTATTGAGGCAAAACTACTCGCAGATAGATACTCTACTATAGTTCTGTGACACGATAATACGCAAACAATTTACTTTATCCATTTAAAAGTCATTAAAAGCCCGAAGAACTTTTATTTCGTCCAATAGTGAGGTCGGGTCACCACGCTACTAACTTCGCTGACCCTTGAGAGCAAAGCCGTGTTCCGCAGTCGACCGCTAGTTAGTACATTGGCAGCTGACAGTGAACATTTTGTTGTTATGTTTAGCGTAACTATTGTAACGATAATGCACGTCTTGCCAGTATATTTGTGCACTAACGTGCAAAACGTGCTATAAAATAATAAAATGAGTCGTTAGGAAAATCTAGATGTGCTAACAATATGCCGTACCTACTCGACTGCACGTGCCATTCCTTCGGTGGCGGCACCGTACACCCAGGCCCTTAGGATGATTTTTATAACGACACAAAGTGGCAAATGAAAGGAATTAAATTACAATCTAAACTTTAAAGAGAATAAGTTTTTCAGATAAAAGAGAAAGAAATTTTCGTATAAAATGTTGCCAAGAGAAGCGTATAACTTGCACTGTGACAAAGTTATCAGAGAATCATGTAGAGCCAAGCTTCTAACTCTACACCTCAGTTTGATTACGAAAAGCTTCGACCAGCTTGCTGGCGATGTGCAGGCTCAAACCGATCTACTGCTCGCTATCGCCAATGCTTCTGCAATCCGTACTGTTCATTCCCATTGCCTCGAGGGGAGTAGCCACGAAAACGCTACGATGAAACATTCATTACCTCCGTTATTAATTCATTTATCCATCTTTATTTACATTTTGAAAGAATTTTCGAAATATTTTTCTTTAATATTTATTATGTTTACGTTATGTTAATTTGTGTTAAGTAAGGTTATGTAAATTTTATGATTTTTCATTTAAGAAAAACGAAAATTCCGTTATAGCGTTGGTCGACGGGTATTCAAATAGCTGTTCCACCCCCTCGAAGTGAATGATAAATTACAAAAGAAACGAGTGAAGAATGGCCCGATCGGAACAATTTCGTGTTTATTGACGAAAACGAATCGCCGGAGGTGAGATGAGAGAAAACAATATTATGAGAAAGCTCGCTGCTACAGCGCCCGCCCGAGGATACTTCAGCAACGATGACTTTCGGAATTGCATCCGTATTTACGGATTCAATCAACGAGTGCCAGCAGCTTTCAGGAAAAGAGAACAATCGGACAGCTTAAGACCTTGAGTATATAATATTATTTTGACAACGAAAGTAATTATGTCACGACGCCAGTACATTCCTTCAACCTACGCAATGACAAAAACAGTTATTTTTTGTTTAATTAATTAAATTATTTTCAGAGTAGTTAAAGGTTAAAACCATTGCGAGTTGACAATTAAATTCTAGATGCTATTTATAGCACATGGCTTACGTCATGGTTAATACATAATAGCCCACGATAACTTAAATTGTAAGAGAAAGTCAAACGAAGGTAAAATTCCTTTCATTGTGGTTGTAAGCTTGAGCCTGTGTTAGTAACTACCAGCGTCCTCTCGCAGCGGTCAGTTCGATGCCTGAGCCGTTGAGCTGTTCCGCATTTATTATTATGTACTTTTTCTTTTTATGGATACATTAGCAGCAAGTACCTACTGAGTGACGCGTTTGCGAAAAGACATCGCATTTTTTCTTCAGGACTTCGATTCAGGAAGACAACTGAGGCGCTGTAAAAGCCATTACCTTCTGAATAGAGCACATTCGTCAGGATCGAATATCCAGGAGTGCTGTAGATACTTTTCTTTTACAGTTGGTTACACAGGGTGGATCATTGTCAAAATGTTTTTGTACGAGTTTATAAATAACGTTCTAAATGTTATTTGGTAATAACACTGTAGTCTAGTTTAGTGATTCAGCATTTATACTGATCGTGGGATGTCTATTACTCTATGCTATCTACCTACTGTACCTACTGGACATAAATTAGTTTGAGATGCGACTTTTAACGCTAAAAATTAATAATAACTACTGAACATACTTGGTGCTTTCGGTTATCGTTCTTAGTGTTATACTGTAATATGCATCGAATCAATCGTTAAAGCATTGCTCAAAATCAAACATACAAACCAAATCCAAAATGATATTGTTAGAGTCAAATATCTATGATTTAACTAGTCGGCTTGATGAATCAGTGACAATAATAAAGAATCAAAGAGATTCAAATGTGATGATACTCAGTTATTTGAAGTTATTTTATTTACGCATCCTGTACGTGTATCAACATTATTGTAACTAGAATAAGTATGTTGTAGAAGTATTAAAGGACTTTATTATTATTTTTATGAGTTTTATTAATCCTCGAAAATGGCTTCTTCGGTACTGACGACTGACTCACGGGCCTAGACCAAGTGAGCCGCGTTTGCTGGATTGGGGTATTGGGAGTTGTCATCCTGCAAGAACTTCCTAAGTATGCGACACGTGTTAAGGATGGCTGCTTTCTGCATTGTCATGTAAGTATTTTCCTGAATATCTAGATTGCGGGGGGCACTAAGTAGGAGTTTGGGTATGATCCCGGTGCTGGAGAGCACCAGTGGCGCGATGTATACCTTGTCGATATTCCAAATTTTAAGTATTTCATCTTTGAGTTCTGTATACTTTTGAATTTTTTTCGGTTATTATTACGTGTATCTTTGCGTTTCGGCGCGAAGGCGGGCGGCGGTCCATCACACTCGCCGCCTAACAAGCGTCTGTACGACGGTACCCAACTTTCATAGGTGGGAAATAGCCGAATCATTTGTGTTTACTTAATTGATTAATTGTAAAGATATTATTAATAACATATAAAAAACAACAGTTGTTGTCTGACCAAATTAAATTACTAACTGATATTTATTCTTATCACTGGAAGGCGTAATGTATGTAAGTTTCCCACGCACTGTACTGATGACGCAGTCGTCGTGAAAATCCTCTGTGGAGGCCTTTGTCCAACAGTGGACGTCTTTGGATTCAAGAGGAAGGGTTTACTTTTGAGCAATATATTTTGGCAATGGTATTCCGAGTGATATCGTGCAAATATTTGTTGTAACAAAAATCGGAGAGCCAGTGATACAGCCAGCGGCCGGGTCAGTGGTCCTGGACTCGAGTCCTCGGGCGAGGTGGCGCGGCGCAATCACTCGCCGTCAATATTTGTGCGCCGTCGGATGCAGCGCTCGTCTTCAGCAAAATATTACAATGTGTACACATTACACACCGCTGTGCGCAAATACGTAACCACGTTTGACTAGTTGTCGGAGCGTCGCAACTTCATAACTTACTTGTTCTTTGCTTTTGTAAATGTACACACATTTTGTCTCTAACATGAAAAGCTCAATACAGGACAAAGTTTGCTCACTAAGATACAGTCTTAAGAAAGCACATTTCTGAAGAAAACTTATTATAAGATGAGACCAAAACTTTAAAGCGTCAAATAGACTATCCTAAGACGACTTTTGTTAATTTATTGACGCCGATCTAGTGACGTGATCACAACCTCCTCACCCTTCCGGCACGCACATCTACAGGGATCACAATTCAATTATACAGATTTACTTCGGAAATGAATATTCCGAAGTAGATTAACAGAGCGGATCTTCACAAAATATATTTTCAGTTTCATTTTGTTACTACTGACTATGAAACAAAGATGCATTATTTTATTTATCTTTATTAAAGAAACATACAGCTTTGTTTGATAAATGCAGCTTAAAATTAAGTTAATCCTACTACGAGTATAGGCACACTTATATTTTTTATGTCGGTGTCACTAAATTACAAGCATTAAGAAGCGCTAGACTACAATCGATTGATTAAATTCTGAATCTTTGTTTCTTAATAATAACCCATAACCATAAAAAAACTTAGAATATGCATGTCCATTAAAAATAAAAAAGAACTGTTACTCAATAATAGACTAAAAATAAAATTAAATAACATGTAAAATTAAATATGTTGGCCCTTTTATTTAGTTATTTGCAGTATAACCAGCTTAACTCATTCCAAAAAGTTTTTAGATTTATATCTGCAAAAAAAAAATCGTCAAGTTCTTCTTCTTTCAGTGTCGACAACAAACCTACACAGTGTCAGCCCAAAATTCCGCCACAAGAGTGGCGTTGTCAGCAGCACTCATCAAATCCTCCTGAGTGCAGTTGCTTGGGCACTCAGGGCACGACATCAAGTGCTTCATTGTCAAGTTAATTTGACAACTAGTGAACCGATAAATTAATTTAATTTTCACAATGTAACAACGTAATTTAGAAGCTTGATGAAGACGTTCCCCCGAGTAGTGATCCGAAGTGTTCGACCCGTAATGTCGGCAAACAGAGCCGCATTAAAAGCGTTATGAACGCGCGTGCTCCGCCGCCNGTTTTAAAGTCATGTGCGCATAGGAAAGAAAGGGTTTAACAGATTCGGAGAATAAATAACAATGTCACCTAACGATAAAATCACTTTCTAGCACCGTAATCGAAGCTTTTTCTAAAAAAAAAGAACTAAAATACAAT